GAGGGTAGATGGTAAGATCAGAAATAAATTGGGGGGGGGGGGGGTAATGAAGTTACCTGAACCTCTCCAGTAGAAGGAATCCTTTTGTCCTTAGGTCGGCCAGAGGGGCGGCGGGTTTTGGGAGGGTAGATGATAAGATTAGAGATCTGACGTGGAATGTCAATGTTGCCAAAAGGAGCCTCAGGAAAAACCACAGCAGAGTACGTCTCTATCCAGTGTTGTGTCTTATAGTATTCAGAAACCAATTGATTATAGGGTAGACCAATTGAGTCAGCAGCCAAAAGCGCACGTCCACATGGGATTTTCAGCTTCTGGAAAACTTGACATGTACAAGCTTTGGTATCCAAGTGGATGTGAGGGATAAAAATCACTTTCCTAATTTAGGTTAGGTTTAAATTGGGGAAAAGATAATCGTGGGCTGAATCCTGTAAGAACTTAAAGAATGAATATGACTTGCATTGATGTTCCCGATAAAAGAAGATTACAAATGTTTTGATCTGAGGTTACAAAGAAATAAAGGAATGTTTTCAGAGTATATGAATGTGTGAATGATAATGAATCTCCATCCGGACCCCTTGCTTCGATCTCCCACTACTCTTTTATAGCTCGCGATCATGTTCCAACGACCTCAGCTAACCTCCGAGATTTGCTCTGTGTGTCGAGGGATTCTCAACGGTCTCCTTTTGACTGGGTCCTATGCGTCTATCCTGAGCTAGTCCTACTAGCTCTCTGTAGATGAGGTCTGGAGCTCTCCTCCGTGACCTGTTTTGGTGACGTTCTTTCCTTAGCAAACAGCCTCCGGCTTCTTTCTAAATATTTTCTCAAGATGTAATTGCTAATGGGATTTATAAGAGCCCATTATCGGTTACTTTTATTCAGGCCTGTCAACTTCAGCTAACGGGTCGTATTTGGGCCCAACAGTTGCCCCCAGCTTTCGAGATGAGACCTCTTTTCTCGGAAGCTAAAGCTTAACCGCCTGATATCTACCTCTTTTGTTGAGATAACGATTATTTTATATTAAACTTGAAGATACGCGTGACCTTAATCGAGCGGTCCCGATTTCGTTTGGTAAGATATACGGCTCGCGTTAATATATTTGAACAGTTTCGTACCCGATTTTCGAGACACGATGTGATATAAAGCTGTAGTCATTAACTGCAGCTTTCACCACTACTCCACGCCTTGATTTGGTTTCCCAGGTAACTGTCCAATTTCCTCCTTTAACTTATAATGATTAGATTTTTTTTTTCTCGTTTTCGTCACGATTCTCTGGAACCCTCTGATTCAAAAGTTCTAGTTTCAATCCGAATTTCTTTTTCGCTCTCATTCTATCATTCGGCTCCTTTCTCGGTTAACATGACGCGTCCTAAGGAAGGTACCGGAGACACTGAAATTTCTTCTTCCGGTGTCCGGCTTATGAAGGTTAAACAGGAGATCGACGAAACGATGAAGAAGAACGAGAGGAGTAAGAAGATTAAGGAGTCGATAGCCTCAAGAGTCTCGAAACGATCTAAGAAGAACGACGGCTCGAGTGGGAGCGTCTCTCTTGGTTCTCATGTGGCCTCCTCTTTAAAGGGCCAGGATGTGGTCAATCTCATGGTTCAAGCCGGAGGTCACAAAGATTTAGCAAGAGCTTGTAAATCCGATGAGACCCCGGAAACTGCTCCGGAGGGATGGTTCTGTGTTCATGAGAAGTACATTACCAAATGTCATCTCAGGTTCCCGCTTCCCGATCTTTTGTTGGATCTCCTGGATCACTACCAGTTAGCCCTTTCCCAGCTCTGTCCTTCGGTAATCCGAGTGATAAATGGTTTTATCACTAGGGCTAGAGAAGAGGGGGTTGCCGTTGGTCTTCGTGACCTGATGAGCCTCTACACGATTAAGGAGAGCGCTTCAAAGGAAGGTGGCAGTGGTACCTACTATCTGCCTTGTCGAGCTAAGATGGGCCTTTTCAAGTTCTCCGGTAGCGACGATGATTGGAGAAAGAAATATTTTTATGTGAAGACGGATCTTCTGACGGTTCCTGAGGGTCGTACCTTAAGGGTTATTTGGTCCGATGTTTCGGGTTAGGACCTTTTAGGGAAGCATTTGCATGTTTTGCTTATTTCGCGTAATTTAATGATCGTTGGTTCTTCTTGCAGATATTGAAGAACCTGAAAATCTTACTAATAAGCTCACTAGAGCTTTGCATCGTAAGTTGAAGCAAAGTCCTTGTACGTGGGGAGCTTTCACTACTTCACGCGTAGGAGCGGCCAGGTTTCCTGAATGGTACGGAGCCTCATTTCTGGATCCTATCCCAGCTGCGGGTTTAGAAAGTAAGTCTGCTCTATCTTTCTTTTCGAACGTATTAGATATACGTTTAGAACTGTTCGATTTTGAACGAGTTTTTATTGATCCAGTTTCCGAAGGTAATTCGATTGTGACTATCTCGACGGAAGCTAGTACTTTTGAGACCGAAAGAACTCAGCAAACTAAGATGCCTCTCCAACCGTCTTACCGCTCTCGAGGCAAAGCAGTTAAAGCAGCCAGTTCTTCTAGAGGTAGTGAGAAGAACCAGGGGGGTTCCTTTCTTAACCAGGTGAGAGATGTTCTTCATGACGGGGTCTCTCTCCCGATCAAAGATGTCGTCACTGCTGATGTCTCTAAGGCTCAGGAGACTGCCCCCAAACCCGATGTTCAAGCCAAGGAAGCTGACCCTCAAGTGATCAAGTAGCCTTCTGAGATCGAGCCTCCAAGACCTAAGAGGTCTCGAGTTGACCAAGTAGATAGATTGTCTAGGTCTTCCTCCTCCTCTTCTAGGGGAGGAACCGTGGGGTGGAGTTTTACCCACTCGAAACCTGGTTCTGTCTTGGAAGACCCTTGGGGTTTGGCCACATTGTTGAGGCATATGAAGAGGACCGGCTGCTCTCTCCCAGCGATCAGCAACATGACCAACCGAGAGGAGTATGTGGAGGTCGCTCATTGCATGGGTCAGGTGAGGGACCTTGATTTTTGTTTCCTCTAGTGAGGTTATTGGTTTCATGATTTATTCGATTCTTTTTGCAGTTAGCGGGGGCTATTAACAGAGCCCAACTGAGCTTGGAGGATACGATTAACAGCGCTCCCAGAGCTGGGGAGTTAGCCCAGGTGACTGAGATGGTGAAGGCTACCAACGAGGAGCTTGATCAATCCCGAGCTAGAGTTGCTGAGCTTGAAGGTGTCGTGGAAAGGCTTGGCTTGAAGGCTGATATTCAGGCCGGGAAGATTGAGAGTCAAGTTATTGATATCCAAGTGAAGGGGAGGAAGATAGTCGAGCTGGAGGCTGCTCGGAAGGTCGCTGAGCAACATGTTTGAGAGCTGATTGCTTCGTCGTAGATTAGCCAGAAGAAAAAGGAGGCTGAAGTCAAACTAGCTATCCGTCAAGGGAAGAAGGAGGTAGCTGATGCTTACAACAAGATTTTGGTTTCTGCCAAGGAGAAATTTGCCAAGAAGAAGGAAGAGGTGAGCCTTCAGATTTATGCTCAGGAACTTTAGGCTAATACCGTCCTTCTTGAGGAAATGTTGGCCAATGAGATCAAGAGTGTTGATGAGGAGTATCAGCGACTGATGTCGTTGATTCCGGAGGCTACCGCAGCGTATGAGAAGGCTCAGGTATCAGATTTTTCAGTAAGCAAGTTGTCTCTGCCTCATATCTCGGAGAGCTCAGGTACCTTTGAGATCAACGTATTTAATCCGTCTTTTTCTGGAGGATATGGTTCTAACTTAGGTCTGGTGAATCTGGTTTCAGCTCTAGTTGAGGCAACCACAGATGATCGTGAGAAGGAGACAGGCGATGGATCCTGAGCTAAGGAGTTTGTACCAAGTGAGGAAGATAAGGATGAGGAGAAGGGTGCTGACGAAATGGAAGTCTAGATGTCGTCTTTTCTTTTTTTAGAATTATGTCTTTATGTTTTCCAGACTTTTTGCCTACTAAGCTTTCTTCTGTCTTTTGTTAAGACTCGTGACCTGAGGAGGTCTTTAAACCTTTGCTTTGTTTAAGATCTTTGAACTTAAGTAGCCTGGGGAGGCTTTTAAACCTTTATTTCGTTTTGGTTTCGCTCTAAGTCATTTCACTTGTGAATATTTTCGTTTCTTTGAATAAAGGGTTCTGGGGCTCGCTAGCAGCAGGTCCCGCTATCTTTTAGCGCGAGATCTCGAGGTCAGGTTTTCGAGACCTGATTTTACTCGGGACCTCCTTTTAGATGTCGATCATAGCTAAGGATTCTGAGACTTTTGGTCGGGTTCTTTAGGAACCTGAATTCGCTCCTAAAGGATTTTGAGACCTTGGAATTTGCTAAGAATTTTAAGACCTTGATTCTCGTTAAGGATTTTAAGACATGGGATTGAGGT